TAGGATTATTCCCCAAACACTGACGAATGTCTGTGTAAATGTTGGAGAAGGTCATAACCACAGTTTTCGAGCCAACCTCATCACTGCCAAAGAAAGGTGATTTCTGAAAGTTGTTCACAACGTGATCCAGAAAAGCAGCAAGTCCTTCATGTAGTGGTTTCTTGAAATACTCATCATTTAATTCGTGGATATCTTGGTCATTCTCTTCCAAAACATTGCACTTCTTCGCGCGAAGCACACCATCAGGGGAGGCTACCCACATCAAGTCATCTTTACATTTCTTTGAAACCTCCTCCATGTCAGTTTCATTGCGATGAGACAAAACCAGAGATGGAAGAGTGTCTTCGTGAAAACCAATGAACAGATCAGTTTCGCAGAAATGAGACTCTAAGCCTTCGACTGTTGACATTGCTTGGACCCAGCGATGGAGCTCAGTGATAACCTTTTGTTGCTCCTCGGTTAGCACATCAGAGAAACGCAGGATTTGTTTCTCAAACCTGTTAAGAAATGGCGGATCAGAGTCCTTAACATTCTGTTCATCCATAAGAACAATGCATCGAAACCCGTCGTGAACTTGACACATTGGGTTGCTATACGCTCCAAGAGCTACACGACAATTTTTTCTTTTACCGACCACGGCGTAATTCTGGTTTAGAAGATCATACAGACTGCCATAAATATTTTCCAGATCTTTCAATATCAGCACACAATCTCTCTCCATGCAAAGAATAATACGACTTAGAACTCTGTAGTTGTAGTCTTCGGACAGGTCTTCTTCAAATCTACTGCCAAAAATCGTAATACTTTCCTTATCCAGGCTGGACATAATTTGTTTCAAAATACCATGGGCTGAATCTCCTCTTGTTATAAGCATCAGGTGTCTGGCGTGGGCGTCTGCAAGATTCGCTTGAATTAACTGAGTGACTGGAACGATATCATCTTCATCACTGGATATTAGAGTTTTGCTCAACTTGTCCAGGAAAATCTTCTGAATGTTGCTTACTTCATCATAGAGGCCACCAAAATTACGCTGTAATGAGATGTTAACGTCTTTAGAGGTGCTGCAACCTGTCAAGCTCTTAATCAAGGAGTAGTAATCACGAAGACCATGGAAATTGTCATGTTGTTGTTCCTCATACTCGAAGTAACCATCCGCCAAAGACTTTAATACCTTTTCTCCCAAGCGTTGGCTGCCATCTGTACTATCAGCGTAATGAAGTGAATACCCTGTGTCATATAGATCTTCCCTGGTTGGTTCAGGTTTGGACAGATGAATTGCCCGGTTCATCTTCGCAGCGTCTAACGACCAGTTTGAAATACCCACAACAGCAACATCTGGAAATTCTCCTTTACCTGGCTCTAACAAGCTATGAAGGACTTTGAGAGGGTTGTACTTAGAATTTTCAGCCAATCCTACTTCATCCAGTAAAACGACTGGCAGAACATTTCCATCTTTGTTGTGGGTTTTATATTTTCGTGCCTTTTCAAACACTTTGATGATTCCTTCTGATGTGGACGACTCTGAGCCTTGATATGAGACGACATAAAGTTGTGGTAACTTTCGGAATAAAACATTTTGCGAATCACGTCCTCGTAGGTTGCTTCGGATTAACTGTATGGATAATGACTTACTACATCCAGGCTTGCCAACGACGAAAATCGGAATGCGATTTAAGATGCAAACAAGCATTACAAAGACATTTTCTCGTAGGGCGGCGTTTCTTGCAGTGCCATTTGGGAGTTCCATCCGATCCAAATAGTCTTCTTCTTCTATACGTACAATAGCTGCAAAATTATCCGAATAATCAGTTGCTTTCATTTCAAAGTCATGACGGCTAAATACATCCATCATGCATCTTCGGTAATCTTTCCGCAACTCTCCAGTAGGTAATCTGGACAAATAACAATGGGCCAGTGCGAGCACAATGCTCTTGATCATTGGATTCTTTTTGTACTGTTGTGACATCGAATGGTATTTTCTTAAGTGCCTGGAGTATTCTTTCTTGGTTTCCTTGAGTTTTTGGCGCTTCCTTCGCATATCCTCAAACCATCCAATCAGGTGAATGCAGCGGTAGACGTCTCGTAAACTAACACAAAAGTGGTTCTTTTCAGCATTACGAATAAACTCCTGAGAAGAAGCGAGCAACTCAATAAGCATATCTTCATACTGGCTTGGCAGATCTCTTACCATTCTCTGAATATAATTTCGTTCATCTTCTGGTGCTAGTGAACCATAATCCCAAACATAGTCAATCATAGCTTCAGGTAGTGGATGGACACGGTACACCAGCTTGGAATACTCATCAGTTATATTCTTGCCTTCGAGACCAGCTGTTTTAATGTGTTCCTCAGGACGTAACTTGTACGGGTTACAAGCTGCTAGGAAGACAAGATTTTTAGCTAATGGTCGCCCGAGCAAAGAGTGATGACATATCACATCACTGATCAATCCTAGGTGATCACACGTGTTTATTTCATCCAAGAAAATCCAGATTTTCTCTTTGGTATTCTTAGCGTCATATTCCTTTTTCTTTATAAATATGATTGTCTCTTCTTCCGACCTCCCAGCATGCAAAATAAATGTTTCGAGTTTTATGCCACACGTATCAGCCAAATAACGAATAAGACTGGTCTTTCCACAGCCTGTCTCTCCCATGATGATAACTGGAACATTGGCACGAACACGTAATATGATCAATATCATCTTTAGGATGTTATCTGGAGTCAAGGCGTAGCTTGTAAATAGATCTTTCTTTCCAACCAGTTTCATGCATGCTATCTTCTCTAACTTCTCCTGTAGTTCGACTTCAGTTAAAAACTCCATATCGTCAAGTTCTGTGCTCCCTCGTACCACTTGACTCTTCAACAATTCTATAACATTTAAGGGAACAGATGATCTTTTCCTGTACACAGCAGTAATCGCTTGCGAGTTCAGACCATGAAACACGATCAACAAATGGTTGCTGTTTTCCCACTGTATCATCCCCGTTACTCGTTCAACCATATCGTCAGCAGACGTCCCGGTGGATGCGACTGCTCTGTCCAATGCCCTCGCGGATTCCTCTTGAGACAGATTCTTTTTATCGCCTGAGGGAGAAGTTGTAATAGAACGAGATGCGAACTCTTTTGACACTTCTAATAGTGCGGAAAAAAGATTGCTACGGACACCAGTGGACTCTTCACCAACCATGGATTCCAGATTCTCAATTTTGAAAAAAGTGCTATTTGAATATTTTAAAAGCTGGTCAGCTAGAACTCCCAAAAATGTGTGTAGTATTGTAAAGGTAACATCTGCAGCTGATGAAAAATACCTCGCTAAAAGCTGTTTGCAGCGACCTGGTGGCAAAGGTTTAAATATATTCTGTCCACAGAAAGAAATTTCATTTGAATCAAGGCCTTGTCGGTCAAAGAGATCTAAGTATTGGCAAACAACTTGAACATTACTCGTTATTTTGGAGCTGACCAGGAAGTCCTTGTAATTCTGCCACTCCAAGTGAATGTGTTTAAAGTATTTTAAAACAATCAATGATTCTCGGAGCGTATCTTTCAGTGTATTTGCTATTTCAATGTAGATGTGTGTTGTAGGGAGATGATAAAATTGATTCCCGGCTGAGACCATTCCGGTGACAATAAGTTGGAATAGGAATGTGTCCAACAACAATGGATCGCTAACTTCACCAATATCCAGATGCAAGCAATGATACTTTTTTATCTTGATCCCTTTTAGTCGCTGAATGACTTTACTTGGCTGGAATGGGCCACTAATTGGAAAGGTAACAACACCCATACTCTTCTCCAGAGATTGCTGCTTCACTTGCTCCGTTTTTCCAAGGCCAGGAAGTTTAGATGTGATAATTTTAACGTCAGGCCAACCAGATTGAAGTCGATGTCCGAGGGAATGATCACTCATACCAGCAATGCGATGTGTATATTGGGAAAACTGTTCCACAATGTGGTGCTGGTCACCACCGCAGCAAATCAAAGCAAGTTGATAATCGATATATTCTTTTATTGCCTCGGAGCTTTCGTAGTATTTCTGCTTCTCTTTAATCGCCTTAACTAATTTGAACTGCAATTCATTTGGTAGTAATTCAACATTTGCGATGCAATATAAACTTTTTCGATGTACGAACTTTGAATGCATGAAACATCTTTGCAATAGCAAGTGTAAATCCTCCCAATTTGTTTGTGAATTACAGAAAACAATTTGATACGGTTCCGGGTATGCATTTGACGTGTTTTCGTACAGCGTGAGAAGAACGTTGATCATTATTGAGCTATCCGGCTCGAGACTGGCGACGAAGATTTTTCCTGGTGTGACTTCTGCCTCCGACGAAAATCGTTCCTGATGCGACTTCTTTCTGTATGAGTCCGTTTCTCCCTCGTCTGGAATTCGTCTGATAACATCTTGAACTTCGTTAAAAATGCATTCTAACGCCTCTCCAACAAACGAGAGCAAAATTTCTGGACTGTCATTGGGATTAAACATACCAAACTTTTCCTTGTGATCTTCTAACTGCTGTTTAGTGATCGTTCTATCGACAAAATGGATCAGAGAGAGAACTTCGTCGCAATCAACAGCAGGCTCGCCAATCAAGAAATCATACAGCTTGCACAGTTGATCGGAGCGGTAGTAATTGAGACGGTAGAATTTCTCCTGGACATTCTTCAAAACACTCTCCCAGTTTTCTTGATCATTCAAAAGGCTATCCCTAACAGATTTGAGTTCATCGGTAGTTTTTATTCGTTTCCAATATCTTCGATATTTTACATAGCCCGAGGAACGCAATTTTAATAGATGATTGGAAATTTCCGACAGTAGGTTTACTTGATTAATGAAGTCATCAAAATCAATATCCTCGCTACTTTCGTTGTAACGACTGGAAGTAACCTTGATACGGGAAGAAATTATGAGATGCGCCCGACTTCTTAAATCATGTAGATCTGACAGAGAGTAGCTACACAATTTATCCTCGCCATCCCCAGGAAGTACGTAACTCATCTTAGTTTCGCATTTTCCATCTTCCTGCGACACCGAATATTCTCCTCTGCTCAGGCAATTCTATGATTTCTTTAGTCATCTCTCCACGGTTTGCAATGCTCATGTACAACCCACGAAGACTGTTCACGTTCATACTACACTGCTTGATCTTTCCTTCTATATCTTTATGACCATTGCAAGATTTTTTTAACATGTCTAAAAATCCCTGGAGTTCTAACGTTTTGTCATTCTTTTTCCTAATCAAAGGTGCTAGGAATCCATGAACGTCGATAAGGTCGGAAACTGATGACTCGAATACAAATTGATCCGAATGTTCCTCAACGGCATCGATTAGGAAACGAATGTCTTCGTCAACGATTTCTTCCATAAAACTAAGCAATTCTCTGCAAGTTGACAGCTCCTTAATCACACCAGTTAATTCTTCTCCAGAAAAAACTGAGACTATTTGTTTGATGTTTTCCATTGATTGATGCAACGATGTAGGTGTTGGTTCATTTCTATTTTCCATCACTGTTTGGAATTGTAAAAGTACCGTCATTGTATCATTTGGGATGTCTTCCAGTCCAAATATATCACGAATAGCAATGAAGTGTTGCACTTGTTCCAAGAGGTGAGGATACTTCATGTAGTCGTGGATGTAAAGTTTAATCTCGGGGGAAAACTTTTCTCCGAAGTATGTTTCTAGCATTTCGAGCTCTTTAACACGTGGATCTTCGCCTTTCATAATACCAAGTAGAGTCTTCATGGTCTCCGCATTCAGTGACTTGGGATCTTTGAACACACGATCCCATTGCTCTTGAAATTGTTCTATAGCTGTTGTGGTAAGAAACGTTATCAGTGAATGGAAGTCCTGTATTGGTGTTGCTGCATTCTCCTGTTCCTCTTCACTTGCACAACTTAATTTCTTCAAGCATCTTTTAGCGACGGTCCTAAAGGACAGAGAATTTCCTACTGTGCGCAAATCTTCGGCTGCGCTTAGGAACAGCAATAAATCTCCCCATGACGTTTCATCTTCCAAATCTTTTACACTACCTGTGCGCAAGATCTTTTTAAGATCATTTAACGACTCCGTGACACTCTCAATTCCTGGAACTGCACAAACGTCTTCGATTATTTTACTACTGCATTCGATCGCTGACGTTAGCATGTCAATTTTCTTGGAAGAATCTTCGGCAACATGCATCAAGCGTGAGATATGATCTAAAATCAACTTTTGGATATCGGCCTGGTTATACTTTGGTGGTCCGGAAGCATTTCGTAAGATGGCACAAAGCATCGAAACGTCTTCCTTCTTTTTGTCGACGTCTTTTAATAAGCCTAAAGATATGTCACCATCTTTTATGCGCTTATCTAGTTCTCGACAAATCTTCTCTCCAATTCGATATTTTTTATTATCAATTTCTGAAAGTTAAGAAAATCCAAATCAGGATACAATGTTATTAAATTGAAGGTACTTACCTAAACTGCACACATGGGACTGCTCTTTGACAGATCTAAAATGCATTGCTTCTTGTTTTGTTTGAAACACAAAAATAACAGACCTGTTTTTTTCTCAAATTCTGGTCATGGCAAAAATAATACATTTTTTAAAAAGAGGGTACAGTGAGATTAAGAGAAAAGGAAGACTATGACTTCAAGTTATTTATATAACGCAGAAAGACACTTACCAGGTATTTTCAGGAAGATAATCCAAATATCACACGAACCTAAGATGTTCTTGAAATTATTTTCTTTAATTTGACCAACTTTACCAATTTCTTGTACATCAATGATGTCCAGGATAAACGACAATAGTTCTTGGGCAAGCCTGAAAACATACAACATTAGAAGTTTAGTGTTAAGTCGAAACGTTTTTTTGTATAGTATAGTTACGAAACAACTTTAAACGCCATTTCCAAGGTAAATGTAATCGGCTACTCGACTCAAATTTCACGCCTTAACGAAGTGTAACACGAAATCTCGACCCTTCTCGTAATTGACGTATTCGATCAACAAAATTTTGAGGCGTCCGTTCCCTTAACGGTGCGTCAACGAGTATACCTGTTGCTACAATGTTCCATAAGAATTGTGCATGACTCTTTCAACACTTTTTTGGGCTTCTTCTTCAATATGTTCTTTACATTGGATTTATAGCTCTCCTGGACGAAATGCACATATCTTTTTATTTCCGCCAAAGCTTTCAGAAGGGAAGGAGCGTCTTCATTTTTCAAAAATCGTCTTTCGACTTCGGTAGAGAGATCCGTTACAAGAATTGAATTAGCGATATTCATAGGACTTGATCGAATTATGGCGTCAATTGCACCATAAACTGCTATCACCTTATCCACACCATCGACACTTCTACCAACCCAACCGTTCACACAATTAGTTATCACCCACGATTCACAGAGCTTTACCTTCTTCTCGTAGGGCATGACACGCCAACTTTTTGTAAAACACGTGTTGCCTAGAATTTTAGGAACCATCATTAGACGACGAATGGACTTTGATTTGGAGAGCTCCATCAGCACGTCAAACACTTGATCCATAGCCAAATCTCTTTCAGAAATGATTGCTTGAAGAAATTTTTCTTCATCGTCGCCATTAAATTCCTCATCTGACTTGGCGTATTCAAGTAATGTTTGAAATAGATAATCGTGCATCTTGTGACGAATTTTCTCCGGAATTTTGTAAAACTCGCTTAATTTCGCCGCAACGTTTTCGTTTTCAGTGCTAGCAGTTTGCTTTTCATAGAATTTGACAAAGAAGTTCAGCTTTTCGACATCGTCAGCAAAGAAGCAGCTAACTTTGGAAACTTCGAATAACTTCAAAGCCTCGTTCAAACTTGGGGCTTTCTTCATCACCAAATCTAGCAAATCTTGGTAGGCGCTCTGCTCTTTGCTCTCTATTTTCTCGATATGTGAAAGGAGCATATCGATCATCTTCTTGTATTCTTCGGTATCATAAGTGTAGTCTTGGTATTTTTCAAATTTCTTACCAAGAATGAAACCAATTCCAAGATAGGGATAAAAATATGCTGCTAGGGTAAGCCAACTTGGACTGCTGCTGCTTTCTACCAAAATAGTGGCTAAATTTTCCAAAGTCTTTAAATTTGAAGGTGGAAGAAGGCGGGGTTTATAGCTGTCGTTCAAAACCTGAAGAAGGCAATCGCACATGGCTGTCGTTTTGCCACCTCGAGGTAACAAATCCGAATTCTTGCAAAGATGACCTAAGACGATACATAAATACAGTCGCTGCAGGTCTGTCACCGAGTTTTCGGAAACTTGTTCTACGATCCATTTCACAAACTCTTCCACGTTGCTTTTGCCAGACGTCACTAACGAAGTGAAGTCTAAATTTTCTATTTGCTTAAGAATGTTGGAAATTGCAAAGGGATTAGAAATAAAATTCAGTAGCCACTTTAGGTAAAATACCACCGATCTAGGAACAGTCTCGCTCATATAGTCTAGGTCTTCTTTAAAATTGAAAACATCGAAGTGAATGAACGAGCGCACTCGCTTCGGTGAAGTATTGGCTTCAACGTGTGCCACGGGCTCCTTACTTAGCACATTGATCTTGAAATCGAAAATTGGTATTTTGAACTCACGTCCTTTTACACGGAAACCATATTTATATGTCAAATTATTCTTAACCTGCGGCAAAGGTAACGGTACAACACACGTAAACAGATTGTTATCGCAAACATGATCTTCGACAGGTTTCATAATTATAGGTCTAGAGTCGAGATTTAAAATCGCTTGATCAACACTGTAGTCTCCAAAGATCAAGAGGTAGAACCCAATCTAAAACATTTATATTAAAACGTGGTAAGTATACTGTGCATTATAATGTGATGATAATAATGGGTTTTTATTTACATGGCACTCATGCAGGCGTATAGACCTATTCGAAAAAGAGCAAGAGGCCTGTTATGCTGGACCGGTTACAAGCTACACAAAATCGAAGTTTCCCCAGTCAAAATTTAGAAGTGTGCAGATGATTTTGAAATTTTGAAGAAGTAACTTATTCGCGTTCCCATCGCGTTCCGAACACATTCTAAAAAGGCGTTTTTTGCGTTCCAAACGCGTGAAATATTTTGAACGCGTTCCTCGGTTGATTTGAAACCTACGTTCCTACAATCACGGTCAATATGCCATAGCTTACGGTGACAATTTTGAATTTAGACCACTACGCGGAGCATCGCAAATGTTGCCTGGCTTCGAATAACGCGAAAGGAAACGACATATGGAACTTTTTGAAGTTTTTATTCTCTCTTCCTCAAGCGTTTTTTTATTTTTGTTTGGTTCACCCCGCTTGACTGCAAAGAAGTTATTCTTTTTCTCGCATATTCAGAAATCTTTCCCATGTTCACAGACGTGTAAAGTTGTAAACACAAATGGAATGAATCCGTTTACGTTGCCGGAATCGACGCTAATTAATTCTCACGATAACTCCCGAAGATTTCCGACTGATTCAGTAGGAATGCGTCTGGAACGCGTTCCACTAAAAGCCGAACGCAAATCGAACGTGATTTGGAACGTGATTTGGAACGTGATTTGGAACGTGATTTGGATCTGTTAACTTACTTCTGGGCAGTGTAGTTGGAACCGTATACAAACAATATGGGGAATTCATGTCAAAGAACTTTTTGTGCAACAAAATGTTTTCAAACTTCTTCAGACAAATTCTTATCAAGAAAGAAGTACTCTTCCGTGATAAATCTTCATGCAGTCATTCTCTTTACTCTCACCTACCCATGCAACGTTTAAGCTAAACAGGCTTCGTACAACGGACCCGAGCTTGATAACGTGGATAAATTGGGCCGGTCAACAAGTAACACCATTTGACACCATGATATTACTATTTATGACAAAATTTTTATATAGCGTTATGTTAGCCTCTTCCTAATACAACAGAGAATGAACACAAGGATTGTCCTTACCGGCGTTAGTTGCGGTGATGGTGGTTGCGGTTCAGGTATATTCTTCTTTAAGATGGCTGAGTATGAACTTGTTTGTTCACTGGAACCGCTTCCTATTCCGGGTACCATAGGATTATCAACACTTTGACTTCGATTATTAGATCGAACAAGGGCAGTTTTATATGGCTGGACGCTTTCTCCTTTCCCGGTCTCAGAATTACTGAACTCCTCTGAATCTGTTGGATCGCAACACTCCTGTCCTCCCCTCGTCTGTTCATTTCGACCTTGTTCAGCGGTAAAGGTATTGTTAATATTCCTACTCTGTGTCTCGGCTTGGTCGCTTTTAGTTTCACATCCACTCTGTGAATCACTCTTATTTTCGCTATTTTTTTCCAGTTTTTCCATTTATTGTATGCTTAGGGGAACATCTATAAACAAATGTAAAAGTAACGATTGAATTTTGTTTACATCAAAATTAAAAAGGCTAAAAAACAGAACGAGTGTTGAATGTTGCTTTTTTTTTGTGCATGGCTTTCATCCTATTCCTAAGAGCTACGGTTCATCAGGGAACTTTTAGGTTTCTACAAAGAATCTAGAGGCCTTTCAAAGGTCGTTTCTGTTCTTTTGATGATCATAATGGTCACCCTTTTCCAGTTCTGATCATAATGGTCAACTCTTTTCCAGTTCTGTTGAACATAATGACCTTGGCACACCATTGAGTAGTTAACTAACAATTCGTGTTTGTTGGACAGAGATCTACAAAAGTACGACGGACTTTTTGGAATTGTTAATGAGTTAAAAGGTCGAGAATTTCGAGTGGAAATCATATACATCTCAAATCAAAGTCGGAAGCAGGCAGGAATTCAACCTACGCCATTGCGATAAAACTGAGCCATTATGTGCCTGGAGTCCGTGTTCGTCCCACTAATAGTAGCATAAAAGGCGCGAAATTAAATTAATTCTGCATAAAAATGAAAGAATTACACACTTTTCTAGTGCCGAAGTCATATGAAATGAAAGAAATGATAATCGAGGATCTGGATTCTGGAATGTTTTTGCCACTGAGGTTGTTGACAAGAGCGATTCCGGTATATGCGCCGGAACATGTATTAAGCTCGTGATTGGTTAGTCTGATAGACCTATCGCATTTGATTGGTTTATATTCCCTCAAAGGTTGTGGTAGTCGTAGTGGTAGTCAAATCTGAACCTCGCTATTATCATTTACACGACGAATATGCCGCCATTTTGGGGTTGTTTTTTTCAAAACCAAGTGTGTAAGACCTCGTAACGGCGTCTATCTTTATTTTTAGGCTGAGTCTATTCTTCAAATGGTCTGTTGATTCTAAAAAAGTGCTCTTCATGTTGTTATAATTTTTTAAACGCATTTGAGAAAATCTGAAAGTACCCCAAAAACGTCATCGTGAGAAAGGCTAATGGGAATTGGATGCAAATAAACTTTAACAGAGACTTTGGCTTATTAGCATTAGGTTCGGCACATGAAAGTTCGACGTCTAAAACAGGTCTAAAGCCGGTTTTCCACTAGCGATATTTTTCGCGCGAAGCGACATTTTACTTTTGTTCCAGAGCTCTCAACTGCAACCATCTGGAACAAATTGCTTAAATACAAAGGAATAAAGTCGCTTCGCGCGAAAAATATCGCCAGTGGAAAACCGGCTCAAGTCGCGTTTTCTTATATATCTCTCGCGTTATTACTTTGCAAACAAGTCTAATTAATGCATGGAAACATTTTCGACAAATCCAACTAAATATATTTTTAGTATATTTTAATATATTCAACCTAAAAACTGCAGTGGCGTAACCAGCCTGACGATTTAGTCATGGTATGCAAATTTTATGTTATTATCATTATTCATTTCTTTAGAAATTCATTGTTTTGACAGTCAATGAACACCAAAATATTAGCATAGCATGACTAAATTTTCAGGCTGGCTACGCCATTTTAAAAGCTAGCAGAAGATAAAGGCAAAATGCAATTTTTCTGAAAATCACGTACAACTCGTCGTCTATCTCCCCAACTATAATTTAACGACAAGAACATTTGTGTGGGAGAAACCTTGGTTGCGAAATATTTGAAATCCTGTTCGCATGAACGTGTGTGTACACAAATAGGATTCTATTGAATTTCCCTACATTTCTCTCAGTGGGACAGTGAGTAGAACTTAACAACACGCTGACGAAGGGAGATATTTTGTTGCAAAGCCTGAATTTACTGCCGTGCATGCTTACTATATTCTTGGCCCGAAATATTTCGATGAGAATAATCACCCCGATTCGATCACATAAAAATCTGATATAAAACGCTTATATCCGTGCACTTGCATTTATAATATGACACCAGACGTAAACATCACCTTGCATACGGAACAGGTAAATGTTTTCTGCTGCAATGCTTTTAAATATTTAAGACATTAAGACATTTTTTGCACTTCCGCTTCATCATCTCATCGCATTTCAGTGTCTAGCTCTGGATACACTCGGCGAACTTTGACAATTCGAATTCGGTAACGATACAAAACGCATGCAAACTTTATAATCACAAACTCTAACGCGCCCATTATACCGTAGGCGATAAACAGCAACAGTTGACTAAGTTTGCTAAAAGAAAGAAATAGCTACAATATACACAAAACAAAGAAATAGAATATACACAATAACAATATATCCAAGCATAAAAAAGTTAACGCGATTTAGGGGCTACCTTGAATACGGTATTCAGTCTTCCGATTAAGTTCCCAACGGCCAACTCCGACGAGACGACGGTGTTTATTAAGCGCTTAGAGCATCTTTATTTTCGTGAATCCTATTCCACGAGTTTAATGTAACATTCTCATTCTTGCAAATCTTGTTTGAGTTTAGTTTAAAGTCGAATCGGCTCAACGGGTGGCTTTGTGATAGCTGGCTTTCGATTTTAATTCCTGGTAGCTCGGTCTGAATTCGTGGAAGTCACGTGACCTTCATTGTATACATAGACAGCAGACACTTCTGCAGCCGGCGAGGTGAATAATTTAATTATGTTCACCACTCTCGTGCTCATTGTGACATTTCAGCATGTTTCAGAACTAAAACTTTCAACTGATTTTTACACGCCCGTGATACATCTACATTCGGGTAAGCTGGTTAGACCTCATCACTATATATTGCACTTCAACGTGATTCCCATCGATCTGCCATCCAGACTGCCATCGAGTTTTATTACAACTGCAAAATTCTAGGTAGTGTGCCAAAGGCAAAGAGATTTTGTCGACGATTTTGCTGCTTGTCGTCAAATCACCAGCAAAATAGGATGTACTTAAAATACGTTTGGTACAATTAGTTCACAAAACGGCTTGTACGTGTTCTGCAGCAACAAAGTACAAGGTTCCCACGGAACAGAGGTGGCACCGAGTTGCGCTATAGCGATTCTTGAAAACACAATGAGACAGCTGTCAGCGATATAAAATGACACAATTGGGGGCTGGGAATTTCTAAAGGTTTTACCTCGAAACATTTTAAACAGTTTTCCAACGTCCAAGCATTATTAATAACATAACGATTGTCGTTTTCGTACCTATGTTTATGTAATTCATATCTCATACAATTACTCTAAGATATATTTTTTCAGTAAAGTTTAAACTGAAATGTGCACACAGCTGTCGTTGATCAGCAGTACCTGCAGCATACGCTTGTCAATCATTCTATTTAGTTTTGTTTAATTCCGATTTAAATACGTATAACGTGAACCTATTGATCACTTCCAATTTTCGTTTCTTTGTCGGACTGTTCTAGGTTAATAAAGTTTTTAAAATCTGCTATGGTATAAAAGTTGTTACAATTTGACAAACACTGTCAGAAGGGCTATCATTCAGCGCTAAGCTGATTTACAAGAAACTGTTTCATTCTAGTTATTAATCCAGTCCAAAAGTGAAAATTTGAATACATACAAATATCTGTAATATATTAGCAGGTTCACGGCAACCAGGTATATAATCTTTTGCAATTATCGCTACTCTGGTTTAATTAATGAAAGTAATCACCACACAAAGTCTACATTCACGACCCGTGTTTCGACACTCCGGTCTAGTGTCTTCATCAGGGGTGATCTGATGCTGAAACTTTGAAGACACTAGCCCGGAATGAAAATATTTGAGCTCCAGAAAAACCATTCATGCAAATTATGTAATGTATACGAGTATGATTTGTATATGCAATGAAAAATCGGCATACTCACACTTCACTCAGATTAAACGAATGTCATAGATAAATCGTTTATAAAGATATTGGTTGTTGTCATTTTTAGTTTTTTTTCTAAACTTTCGAATCGTTATTAACTATTGTCGCCAAGCCGGCGCACATGAAATTAAAGCTACTAAAAAGTTATATTTCGTGTAGAAATTTGAATCTGACTGATTCAGTGGCCGTCTCCTCATATGTCACCGACGATGGCTATTGTCGGTGATCACTGATGAATTAAGTGCCTTGTTATTTTGGATTAAATTTCTTCGTCAAGAGCCACAAACGAGTGTTTTTACTGCCATTTATTTTAAATACCTAGGTGCCTTAAAAAAGGCCATATGGTTTCTAGTAGGCTCCTAGCCCATTTCTTGTGAATATTTATTCTTTTAAAATGTGAATTTTATTTCTCTTTTCTGGGGCGAAAAAAGAAATAAAATAAAAATTTATTGCCATTCGCATTGCCTGTATTTTCAATTGAATCACGACGTACAGTTACAGCTATAATCGATATATTTTTTAACAAAGGTAAATTAATATTGTGTTTCATGCGTATACAATTTTTGTAATTTTGTGCATAAAATTGTAACACTATAGTTTGCTACTAATTACATGTTAGGCAATTATGGTAGCTACTATTTATATTCTTCTGTGACTGCTAAGAGTCAGCCATCTAATCTAATTTGAACAATAAAGATATAAAATTAAAGAGATAGTCCATTGGCTGACTTCAGACTGAGTGCCCGGCGCCGGTGCCCAAAGTCAAAGCATGCTCATAATTCATAAAACCTGCCGAGTACAGTGCCCTAAGGTTTAAGTACTACCTCTGGAGGTAGTGTCCGTTCTTCAATTTGATTTGGAAGCGTCAGAAAAAGTGCCGAGCACTCAGTCTGAATGCAGCAGCCTAATAACTTTGAATGAGCTCAAAATTTGAAATTGACGCAAAGATCGCGTATAATGATCCATATGTAATTCTAAAAAGGTTATTCCATGTATATGCTTCTTTAATAATAAATTTTAACTGTCACTGCATTTAAATTTATTGCGAGCCGTTAATTTATGCATACACGGATATATATTAACGGATTAAGTTCACTTATCATGCGCGGGAGAAATTTTTAAGTCGACGTCGCCCACCAGACTGTTTGGTCGTCTTTTGTTGAACAGAGGAAACTCGAAGACTTTCCTTCTTCGACTCGCCAACTTTCTCCTGAAGAGAAATATTTGTTATTGAACGAGTGCGTGCCGGTCTGCATGAGAACTAATACTGTACTCGAGAGCCGTTTTTAAGACGGATTGACATTTCTCAGCAGACTGGAGGAGAAATACTGGAAATAGCGAAACGCTCCTCTTGTTCGCTTTATTTACGCAGTTAAAACAATAGAAATGCTAATTTTAAACGTCATTTATGCTCGTTTTAACAACGCAATCATGGAATTACACAGTATACTAGTACATGCACAATATACCATGATTTTTCTATATAACCATCCTTTTCTCATCACAAGGACAAAGACCAAGACTTGTTGTCAATCTGTCAATGTCAAAAGCCGGCGATAAGAAGCATTTAAACTTTTCGCTATTAACTAAATCTTATACTCTCTACTCGCAACAGGTCCCTAAATTCATCTTATACTACACCTCACAATTCACTGTACTGTTCACCCTAAAAAACTTGTCTACTATTTACCTTTTCCTCGAGATACTTCACAATTGAGTGGATGTACTTGAGAGTGATTTCGCGTGGAATGTCATTCAGGTGTGGTAGCTGTAGTGGGAACCACAGTGAAGGTTCTTCCAAACAGGACTGTAATGACTTTCTTTCTTCCGGCCAATATTTTTCAGTTTCTGATGAAAGATAGCGGAAAATGAAACGACGCAGTGCTTTGAGAAAGTTTGGCGGTTTCAACTGTTCAATATCTTTGGCAACCATGGTGCTGACGGATTCTTCTATCTCATCTGGCAGTTCTTTTCGGAATTTGTCAGCGAGTCCTTCGATAGCTCCATCCGCAAGCACATCTTCGAGTGCTTCGTAAAGAGCTGCAAGGTGTCTGATCTTGATCAATCGTCTTGGCTCGGGTAACAACTTTGCAGGGAAGGGACTTGGTAACATCGGCGACCAATTTTCGGCAAACTCTTCTAAAGTCATATCTACGTTAATCTTCTTTAATTCTCGTTTAAGCAAGAAAATAAGCACTTCGATATGCTGAAGAAGGTCTTGAGCTTCCTTTATTCTCCGTTCTTTTAAGTTCGACAACCCTTTACGCACATCATCCGGCAAACTTTGTTCCTGTTCAACTTGTGATCTGATCTCACTCAATAACGGACCACAGGAGTGAAACAACTCCTTCGCGAATACAAACTTATTAAGCGTTCCTGTCAAGAAACATTTTCCAAATACGATTTCTTTTGCAATGACTATTTCCATTCTCTCAAAATCGTAGGTGATTTCTCGACCTTTCCCATACTCGAGATTGTTTTGCGCATCCTGAAAGAAATCATCTGACCATTGAAAATTGATTATCTCTTTTTCTTTAACATCTTGAATTGAGGCGGACATGACACCACTGCAGTTTTCTCTTTCAAGGAAGCTTAGAGCTGGATGTTGATGTGAAGAGAAAGAAATAACTGTGTCCATAATCGAGTTTTGGTAAGAAACAAGGATTTCAATAGCGGTTTTAAGATAGATTCCATAATCACCATCCATTAGACAGTAAGCAACACATTGCGTCTCTGACAGTCGCGGCATTTCCGTTTTGCCAACAAGCGCTTGGTTAACCCGATAACGCATTTTGTTCCACGCTTTCTTAAAATTGTTGAACAACTCCTGCAAACTTTCTGTTTGTTGTTGTGTTTGGGCGGTTTCTAGAAGATGGCCACCGATGAAGTCGTCGATCGACTTAGACTGTGCATCCTTCCTACTAATGCGATGGGTTAATGCTTTCGATACTAGTCGAGACCATTTTAGCAGATGATTCAGGTCACCAATGATTAGGAATTGCTCAAACTTTGCAAAGAACAGGATAAAAAAACTGTGCTTTGTTTGAACCTCTTGAGGAGAATGCAGAAATGCTGAACGGAAATCCTCGAAACATGGTTGCTTTGTCACACGAAATAGTCTCTTTAATTGCCGGTTCTGCTCTTTCGCTAGTTCAGGATATTGTCGCGTTCCAGATACGGCATTCCATTGCTTTACTGTCCTCCGTTTGTTGTATTTCTATCATCTTTTCTTTCCCTTGGATGCCCTATACGATTTCAAGACTACTTTTTCACACGTTGGAAAAATTTGTCTTCCCATTCTTGACACATGGTTGGTGTTAAACAATCATTTGCTCCATGTGACGTTTCACTAGTCATGAGATCGGAACTTTTTTCGACCATTACATGTATAGCTTCGATTGCGATATCTTTTTTGCAACTGAGAATCTTCATGAAAACGCAGAGATCAGTCTTGATAGTTTCAAAACAAATGTTCGCCGGATTTCTGCCTGGATCCGTTCCATGTAATGTATTTAAAACTCTGGACAAGTCCTTCTTTGTCGAAGTTCCGAGAGCAATTCCAGCGTAGAAAGCTGAGTAAACGATGAGGTGTAAGGCACGATAAACTGCTGGACTCATGTGTTTTGTACAGAGAGCCCATTCCGGAATTGTATCCCCATGACACGTAGTGGGCGTTTGGCATTCGTTTTTGGAGACGCGGCGCTTTCTGTATCGTCACCCAGGGTTTCATGACAGTCTGGACACACATTCTTATCAATATTACTTTTAAAGGCCAACCTTAAACCACAGGAGCAGGTAACACGGGCGGATTCGTGCACACAAGGTTGGTTTTGAACACGGAACGAATCTCATCCTTGCAATGGGCAAGAGCACACACATTTTCAAGTATAGCAGAATTGGTGAGGTACTGGTAGAATATCACATTTTCAGTTTGTGGACCTGTGGCGATGACACTGGTTATGTGAAGGACTAAGAGCGCCATTTCAACATCTTCTACTGATGACTCTGGTGACAGTTGAAGTTCTGGACAATCGAAATCACGACGGCCAACAATTCCAAGCAGAAGTTGTTGAAACAATTTTGGAAACGCATCTATTTTGCTAGCAACCCAATCAACCAATTCTTCATCCTTGATATTGAGTTTTCGTACTGCACGCTGCAAATAGACCATATTGATGAGCATCCCAATAAGGGAAAATGCATATTTCGGAGAATTTTCGCATTTCTTTAAAAATTCTTCCATATACGATGTTTCGTTTGATATCATTTTCCAATACGCCTCCGTCGCTTCTGCATACTCGGGATATTTCAATACAGTTGTAAACATCGCCTTATCTTGACTTCTTTCGTTGTGCCATTGTTCTTCTATCGACAAAAGTGTGCAGCTGTTGCTGAACCACTTTCCTATATCAAATAGACTTGCCTTCTTGTTGAGTTGTTTCATGAAGAACGTTTGTAAAGATTTTTGGGAATCATTGAGTATTGAATTGACTTCTCTCATCATATGAGCATACGGACTCTGATCCTGGAGTACACCCGGGTCTCCACAAACGAAGTGTGCCAACATTGTGAAGAATCCACGAAGAAATGCTACAGCTGAAAGTACACTTAGACCGCAATTCTCACCAGGTTTTGATATCAATGCCGCTGCAGATTTAGCAAGCATAAGAACTTTAGAGTCGGAGCTAACAATATCATCAATTTTAAATTTCTCTTTGAAATTTAACAGAGATTGAATTAGATCACAAATCATCACTGCTGGGTACGAGTCGTGATTAATTAACCGTCGAAAAATGAACTTCGAAGACGTCATTTATGTTCTGTAGACACGGACAGTTCTCTATAGCGCTTGGATTAGTGATTAAATCTATGAATATTCCAGGTGACTGCATTTCTTCCACCATGAGTAACCGTAAGACGACAGGACTCATCATCATTACAACTTTGGCCTCTCCAAAGACAAAACTTGTTCTATTATCGGGCGTGCACAACAGGTATCAACATTTGTGTCAATACAACGACCATAGAACAGAGATGAAAACTTCTGTAAAGCTTCTCGTTTATCCTTATTTTCTCCTATTTCTTCTTCTAATGGTTGAATTAGTTTCTCTGTTATTGTTTGAAATGAATCTTCGTGATCCAGGTATTCTGGTTCAAGACCTAAGCCAATTTCGTTTAAAGTATACAATGAACATAAACTCGTAGGTAAGGCAATTGAAGTAAAAATGATCCTTGCGAAGTCGACGCACAAACGTAGGTAATGGAATGCTGGAGATTGTTCGCTGATTTTGAATGCTGACGAGAGCAATAAGTTTGCATTTCGCATCCACATTTCAAAGCCACCATTTTGTTCGACAACTTGTTGTGAAGGAAACATTTCCTTACAGTATACTGTTACCAAAATGTCTCCAAATCTTTCTGAGTTATTACCGTCCTCTATCTCCTCTTCGGACACATCTTTCTCGTCAGATTCATAATTCTTTATCTTTTCAAAATCGTTTTCCTCGTATTCTGAAAAATCTCGCAATTTATCTTTCATATCAAGTTCCACAGTGATCGTTTGATTCTGCTCCGTTTCATCTTTCTTAGGTTCAGCTTGAAAATTAAACACATTGTCCTGGATACTCTCCGTTTCGTTTGTGGCGGATCTTATTTTCTGGAATTCATCTTCTTCACTTTTAGTATACTCGACTTCCCTTGAGCTTTCGAAAGTGCTATCTGTTACCTCTGGACTGTACAGCATGTCATCTGTTAATCGTGGCAGAAATTCGAGTCCTATAAACGCTTTATGTCCTTCTTCGGTTTCTGTTTTAGCGGTTTCTACTGTTCCTTGTGGTTCCTCGGTCATATTGCCGCCATTCAGTTGTTGGCTTGGTTGTTCTTGTGGGGGTAGAGTCTTGTTTATTTTAACCATGATAACTTCTGAACTGAACAATACGTCGTCTGTTATATTTGACAAAGCGTTTAGTCCTATAAATGGGCGACAGCAATCAATCATTCTCAGCAAATCGAGTATTTGTTCCCGATGGTCCCATACAAAAATGTGAAGAAGTGCACAGAACTGAGGCATATCTTCCGTTGGCAAATGCTGCTCAACTTCTGAAATAAAGGTTGCCCGTGCTATGGAAACTCTCTGAGAACGACTTAATGTTTCGTTGAAATCCGCTGTCACTATATCAAGAACGTCTTTCAGATATAAATCGTGACAGTTTGAAGAAATACTAGTGAGTTCGGGTATAAGGTTTATGATGGTCTTTGAAATTCTTTCTAGTTGTTGTTGCCGGGCAATCGGCGTTAGTTCATCATTTTCATCCAAATTTTCTTCATTTTCTGCGACAGTTGCACAATCTTTCAAGAACAGCTCCTTGATACCGTCAATTTTTCTTAGTATCACTTGGATGAAAGGCAGGCTAAGATCTAAGCGTTTCGTGTCAAGAACATATGATTCTGCCCCACGCGGTTCTGAAAGGTTTGATATTCCGAGAATGGCGTTCTTAATGAAAAAATTGCACCAAAGATTTTCCAGCGCTAATATCTGTGTATGAAAGTCGCCAGCCAGATGAGGGGGCCAGGCATTCTCTTTTTCTAAGAAGTATACAATTTTTGCCAGTGGTTTCCGAACTAACCGAGAGACACACTGCTCCATTGCGCAGTAGAGGGTTGACGAATTTACCAATGACTGGCGATCGCAAGCAACTTGAACTTGCCAATTTTCTTTTAATTGTGCATCTTGGTCTGGTGGTTTGCGATCATTCGTGCTTATCGACTGCAAGATGAGATCTTCGACGGCTCGCGAAACTTTTTCTGAGTTGAAAAGGTTTTGAGCGATGTGCAAAACACTATCCAACGGTCTTTGGCTTTGGGTATATTTGATGCAGGTGAAGCACCATAAGAGATCATTTTGCGTAAACCTGCGTATAGGCCATATGGAAGATGTGAGAAGTTGTTGCACACTTTCGCCCAGTATTTTATTCAGCGGAACAAGAGGAGCTTCAAGGACGTCAAGAAACACTTGTCTCCAACCACACAAAAAACTGAACTGCCACGGAATGTCTTCAATTTCTCTACGTTGTACGTGCATTACAATACAAACGTGTTTGTTTACATCTGTATCCGTCTCGTATGAACACTGTTTGTAGGAATTCCTCTTTTCCTCTATGATGGTACGGGCAAGAAGTAAGTGTGGAGCATCTGAATCTGGTTTACACTGCAATACTAGCAACTTTTTATCTTTGGCATTCCAGAATGCATTGATTCTTTCGGCCAACTGCTTCTCTGACTTATACGCACTCAGTCGTTCCACTTGACTCTTAAAACTGTTTCCCAGGCACTGACGAATGTCTGTGTAAATGTTGGAGAACGTCATAATCACAGTTTTAGAGCCAATCTCGTCACTGCCAAAGAAAGATGATTTTTTATAGTTGCTCATAACATGTTCCACGAAGGAAGCAAATCCTTGATGTAGTGGTTTCTTGAAATATTTTTCGCTTAAATCCTGGATTTCTTGTCGTGCTTCTTTCAAACGATCGCACTTCTGTGCTCGAAGAACACCATCAGGGGAAGCTATCCACATCAAATCTTCTTTGCATTTCTTCGACATCTCTTCCATGTCAGTCTCGCTGGAATGTGATAAAACCAATGAAGGAAGCGTGTCCTCGTGGAAACCAATGAACATATCTCTTTCGCAAAAATGTGACTCGAAACCTTCCACTGTTGACATTTCTTTGACCCAGAGTTGGAAAAGCTCGGTGATAACATTCTTTTGTCCCTCGGTCAGCACATCGGAGAATCGCAAGACTTGTTTCTCGAACCTGTTAAGAAATGGCGGATCAGAATTATACACGTTTTGTTCATCCATGAGAACAATGCATCGAAATCCGTCGTTCACTTGACACATCGGGTTGCTATATGCTCCAAGTGCTACACGACAGTTCTTCCTGTTACCGACTACGGCGTAATTCTGATTGAGCAGGTCGTACAAACTTCCATAGACACTTTCTAAGTCTTTCAATATCAGCACACAATCGCGCTCCATGCAAAGGATAATACGACTTAGGATCCTGTAGTTATAGTCTTCAGACAGATCCTCTTCGAGTTGACTGCCAAAAATCGTGATACGCTCCTTCTCCAGGTTG